TTTTCCCTGTCAGTGTGGTTCCTGAAAGGGTAGTCATCCTAGCAGCATTGAAGCAGGTTGTGAGATAAACATACCAACACATGTGGGAAAGGATTTATTTGGCTGCATTTCAGTGTTTCATGAATGAAAGTAGACTAGTTTTTCAGTATCCCATAGTCATTTTCTGGGGCCTCATTAAGAAGTCACCAGTGTTTGGGGAAATTCACGTGGTTCTGAGTAACATGATGAAAGCTCCTTTTGAACCACGGAGAGATCACATTTCTAAGGTCATTGTCCTGGTGGCAGTGATTTCAGCTTGCAGAACGTGTGAGCATCAAGCACCTATTGTAGGGCAGACCCATATCATCTTCCAAATTGGTGACAGCCAAAAAGACATAGCAGTGGCAGTCCTGCCAGTCATGTATATGGAGCATAGACCAAGAACTTATGGAACTGCACATTCTCTGAAAAGAAGAATTGCAAACACAAGTACAACTAGTTTTCTCTTTTAAAAAAATCACAATTTTATAAAACCACGAAATGAACTAGCGGTTAACTTTAATTTTTTTATTTTTGTGTGTTATGCACATTTTCAGTATCAGAACTAACACTTAAAATGGGACTTCAGTTTTTTAATTGGTAATTGCTGTATCTGCAGAGTCAAGCTGAGTTCCAGTGTTATAAAATATTAATGGAAAACTTCATAAAAACCTATAGAGCATGATTGAACGAGGGGAGAGGAGTTTGTAAGCTTGATGCTGTAGCAATTTTAGTGATTGCTGGCTCAGTGCCATAATTACAATTCTGTATTAATAATACCACTTCAGAGCTGGTGTTGTGCAGAAATCAGATTCCTTTCTTGTTTTCCCCTTTTCTCCCCTTGAAAAGGGGAACCATTGGAATATATTCTGAGTCAAAGATGTTTGCTAAGATTCATGCTAGCACTTCCTAGAATAGATATGATTAATGCTAAACTGTTGTAGTGTGATGAACAGTATGCTCATTTTAGGCCTGTGTACCTTTTTAATTCTGGCTCCTCTTGCCCCATTCCTGGTGGTGTTGGTCACTACACAAGCCTAATAAGTTGACTACGAGAATATGTGATTGGAATCAATCCATCTGCCTAAAATAGTTGTTGGGTTGCTGAAAGTCTCCATTTAACTCCCTTACCAAAGCTCAGAGCATCCTCCTGTAATGCTCTCAGACTCCAGCAGCCTTGCTATAAGAAAGACTATCCAAATGTTGTTCTGCATCTCTGCACAGGTGTTTTGCGTAACTGCTCCAGCTAGATCTATTCTAAACATGTTTCTTGTGTGTTAACCCCCCCCACACACAAAATTAAGTTTATTATTCATAAATGAGAAAATTGATCATACTGAGTAGAAGTAAAAATCAGGTTGAGACGTACTCTGTGCAAGGTTTAACCTATACAATAAATCTGCAATAATCATCAAACCAGGTCTCTAAGATTCCCTTCTTTTCTTATTGTGACATTAAGTCATACTTATTTATGGTGAGCTACACTACGAATGGTTTGCACTTTACTATCAATAATACATCTCTCTGTCTAACTGTATGCCTAGCATATAGAGCAGATGGAAGATATGATTCCTGCCCCATGTAGTTTATAAGGTAAATTTAACTTGATATAACAAGCAGGACACAAGACAGTTGGGAGTGTGGAAATGGAGTAGGGAGTAGAATCAGTGACACTGCAAGATTACTTTACTCCGTGAGGGCTAGTGTACAGCATTATGTGTGGTGTTTGATGACTTAGTTAATTTCACATGAGACCTATTGATGCTATGAATAGTAAGGATGGATTTGAATAAGGAAAGGGGGTAATGGCCTTGTGGATCCACTCAGAACGAGCATTCTAAGCAGCAGGGCTGATGTGGAAGAACGTGTGAAGTCATTTACAGGAAAAGCAGATTAACTGTGTACCAAAGCGGCATTGTTAGCCGAGCCAAAAGGTAGGAAATGGTGATGCAAAAATAGATCTGGGGCTCAATCTCCCTCTATGCTGAGGTTATACTTTGTGCACCTGAAAGTGGGGAGCCAAAGGAAGGCAACTCTAATGACTATGATTATCTTGATGACCTCCTGCAGCAGCAAACTGCAGGTTGTGACTACTTGATACATGAAATATTTGTGCTGCATTTCAGTTTTGTTGATTATCTTGCTGTTCCCATGTTAAGGAGATGCAAAAAGGAAAGACTGACAAGTTTTCAGAACACCTTTAATCTTTTTCAATACACATTGTTTTATTTCTTTGCATCCTAGCTAAAATTCAGCCCAGGTTAGTAGTGTCTTCAAGTCATTTAGTCACCCTAGGCAAATAAGTTGGGGGTCTCAGTGTGGTTACTAGTGGATAGATGTCCAGATTTTCAAAACTGTGTCACATTTCGCGCTGAGACCCTCAGCATAAATAACAAGTATTGAATGGGCAAGCAGATTGACTTCCCTTTTATTCTTAAAGGTGCCACCTGCAACTCAAAGCACATTGACAGAGCACTGTGGCGAGACATGCACTATTGCTGCTTGTATTGTACCTGCTGAAAGGATAAGTAGAGGACTTCATTTAATTTACAGAACTATATTTATCCAGCAACTTTCACAAGGTCTAAATTCCGCTGAAAATCCTGTTATCTGTTGTGTCCTTCTGTGGTCATTTATTTTCCCTCAGAGAAGCGTAATGAAAATTCTTAGGGGGTAATGTAAGTGAAGAGGATATTAAGGACATCCCTGTTGCCCTCTGGAAGAGCATTTTGTGTTCCTGTAGGTTTGGACACTCATCAGAGATGGGATTTTTTTTAATATTATTAAGTGCTCACTGGAAAAGGTCTTTTTTTCAATAATGTAAGTGTTCTCTGGAGTCATCTTTTTTCTTTTGGAAGATTCAACTTTTTTCTTGTAGAGCCCTGTGAGTAATTAAGGTTTGGGAACTCGTTGCGCCAGTGTTCTTAGGCAATTCATGAATGTGAATAACATGGAATTGGTTTCAAATAACATACAACCGTATAAATGATCTTTATTATTCTGAAGGGCATGCAAAAATATAGTAAATATGGTTTACTTTAAATTATTACACCTAATATTTTCTGAGGTAGCTCAGTGTGTAATCCAAAGCTACTTGAATGTCATGTTACTAAAAGAAAAAATGGAGATGAGCATAGATACTTGTGAATTGTTTTGGCTAGCAAGCAAAGCAGATAATTCTCTCCTCTTCCTGCTGCCCCACCCTACTGGCACTAGTAAATAAGATTCACTCCATAAGTTGCAGGTAAATAAATAGCATGAAGATCATCAGACTGATGGCAAGAAGTTAATTCTCAAGAATTTACCATTATCATATTATGAATTAATCCAATAGATGAATCACCCATGACTTCTCATCTTTCAGTTCTCATGTCATTGTATGACTCATGCTGAAAGATTTCCTCTTCACTAAGGTAATGGAAAATTCATGTTTGGTAGCCTGACACTTTAAGCACTTAAATATGTTTTCAATGTGTTATTGGTGAGTAAAATTAAAATCATAAGAACAGCCATCCTGGGTCAGACCAAAGGTCCATCTAGACCAGTATCCTATCTTCCAAAAGTGGTCAATGCCAGGTGCCCCAGAGGGAATGAACAGAACAGGTAATCATCAAGTGATCCATCCCCTGTCCCCATTCCCAGCTCTGGCAAACAGAAGCTAAGGATACCATCCCTGCCCATCCTGGCTAATAGTCATTGATGGACCTATCCTCCATGAACTTATCTAGTTTTTTTTTGAACCCTGTTACAGTCATGGCCTTCACAACATCCTCTGGCAAAGGGCTCCATGGGCTGACAATTAAACAAACAATTAAAAACTGGGAAGTAAATGTTTCTGGAGATTTCAACCATTGGGGACAATCCTACAAAGCTTTAACATTTATACAAGAGTACTTAACATACTACTAACTATTTAGAAGGGAGATTTTCAAAGGCCCAGGGGAAATCAAGCGTTCAACTTCCACTGAAAGTCAATGGGATTTGGATACCTAACTTTCCTTTGTACCTTTGAAATTTTTCCCATTAATCATCTCTCTCTCTCCCTCTTTCACCCCTCCCGCCCCGGGTGAGATAGGTAAGCTCCTCTTTGCAAACAGAGAAACAAAGGGAGAACAGTTAAGCGCTGCCTCAGAATCAGGAGTCGAATGCGGTAGATCTTTATTCTTGGCCTCCTGCCTAGGTTTAGACTATGCTGCCATTAATGCTGTTGAGCTACCCTTCCTAGGATCCGCAGGTCACACAGGCTGCTTAGCTGCAGGCAGCCAACTTAGAGGGAGTTTCAGGTAGCACAAGTGCCATCAATGGCAGCTTGGGTGCTATAGCTGTTAAAAATAGAAGACAGTGTCTTTGTGACCCCCTGGAACAGTAGCTTCCCTCTTCAGCATTGAGTGTAGCCTCAGACTCAGTTTTCCTCTCACTGTCTCCCTCTTACTGGTTACTTAGTTTCACCTTCTGGCCAAATCAAAAAGCCTTCCCCTTCTTCCACTGGGTTAAATAAGAGTCCAACAAGCAGAACTACAAATGTCTGTTCCATTTTCTGGATCACAGTCCTCTCTCCAGGGCCTGTGAGACCACCTCTCCTTGCTTGCAGGGGTTCAAAAAGTCCATACCACTATGGGTGTTGGACTTTAAGGGTAGGCACCAGGAATAACACTCTTGCTACTATCCCAAAGACCAGACCAGGGTGGCTTTAAGAGGGAGACTGCAAATAACTTATGATTTTTAGGAGGCTAAAAAATTACATTTTAAGAAGATATACTCTAGCTCAACCACAGCTGTGGGACTTGAGGCAGAAATTAATTTATGGAAGTCCTGTGACCTGTTACGCAAGAGGACAGAATAGCTGATCACAAGGGACTCTTCTGGCCTTTTAAATCTATGATTCTGTTAATTTAATTATCAGTTTGTTTGTTTGTTTTAAAATACTTCAGTCTCGTTCTGGATTTCAGTGCAAACCGTTTTCTTTGCTTTCTTTCCAACAGGTGCAGCTAGTTACAACAGTTTTTATGTTTTCTGCAAAAGTTTCTGCCAAACTGTGAAGCCTGGGAAATTGCGGGTCCGTTGCAGTATGTGTAAAGAAGGGACGCTGACTCTGACAAGGGTAAGCAAGAGAATTCAAGTTTTTAAAGAGGTAAAAATTATGTATTGAGAAGTAATATAAACATATTGACCGCTGTTTATAGCTTCGAAGATGAAACAAAGATTTGTAAACATTTTATTTATCCTTCCACTTCCCCCCTTTTTTTTTTTTTTTTGCTCAGTTCATTCAGGGAAAACTTTTCAAACTTGAGCTCTGATCTTGCAAAGACTTGAGCAGTTGCTTAATTTTATGCACGATGGGAAATCCAGTGGACATATTACATCTGGTTTCCACGATACTCTGAGCATTAGGTGCTGAGACCTGGATCCACAAAGGACTTTTAGGCATCTAGAATATCACTGGAAAAAAACTGTGATTCACAAACCCTGAGTTAGGCACCTAGGATCCCTAAACAATGAATGAGGAGCGATTCTCAGAAAGCCGGGAAGGTTCCATGGAATTTTACAAAGGTCCAGAACATTCTAGGAGGTTAGTGAAAAATGAATCCACATACAGAATACCTGAAACATTTTACTTGGAACATTCTATTTTCCCTTTTCTCGCTAACAACAAAAACAGCACCCCGAACCCGGCGCTCCCCAGCCGGCACCCCAGGCGGTCGCCTAGGTTGCCTGACCCTAAATCTTCTCTGGTTTCGTGTGACAGATACCTGTTTACCTATAAACAGCTCCCTTGTGTGGCTCTGTATTGATGGATCAATTGCCAATAAATATACTAGGTGTTGTTACTAGTTCTTTGGATCGATCTGCTGGTTAGGTTAGCCCACTGTGACTTTGTCTGGTCAGCAGAGTGCCAGCATCTGTAGCCTCACATCTTCAATCAAGAATTTGTTAAATATTTACCAGAGTTCCAAGAAGTCAGTTCCCGGACAGACCAGGAGGAAGAAGGTGGAATCCCAGGGGATTACTACCACCCAGAAGGAAGGATAAGGCGGTAACCTGCTAACACCAGCTGCCATATATAAAAGGAGGAAGAATTAAGTAGTGGATATTATGCGTGAATGGAGATTTAGGTGGTAACTGTATACTTCTGATTTTACCCCCCGCCCCCCGCCAAAATGTTGAGCACTTATATTGGACATGGGTTGCATCCTGAAAAAGGAAGGATGTTGGTTGAATAAGTATATCTCCAAAAAGGGGATGACTTAGAGGACTTTTTGCTTATACACTGGGGAGTGAGAGTGTTTCTTACACTGCCTGAAGTCTTATCACCTGAGGTTGCTATAAAAGTGGTTTCATTTTTTTTCAGAAGAACTGAGCACCCACAGCTCCCATAGATTTCAGGGGGCTTTGTGTGCTGTTTGGCATCTTTGGAAATCAAGCTACTTTTATTAGGTGTCTACATTTGGCCTTAACTTTGGTTCACAGAGAGCGATGAGTTTTGCTTTTCATTTTTTTTCAATGGCTTCTGAGTGTTTATGTCCAATGCTTCAGGGAGATCATTTTAAGTGAAAAAAGTCTATCGTCATTGAAATAATAAAGTGTGATAAACATTGCCAAATTGTTATTCAAAAACTTACTGTCTTTTAGGCAAAACTTTAATGTTATGCTTAAGTCATTTGAGGGTCCCTTTAACTTATTATCAAGGCTTTGAAGAAACATATTGAGGTATTCCAGCTGAACAATTGTAAATGTATCTGAATTAGTCAATTCTAATGATATGTGGCATTGTAAACTGAAGAGTCCCACAGAACCTTTGAGAAAGATTGCTCTTTTTTGTACTTAGAGAAATTAATTAGTGGTACTTTCTTAAGGGCTTTTCTCTCTAAAGAGAGAGAGGGGCATGGACTAAGGTCTCCTGACTCTAATCTCTGTTCCAGCAGTGATTCCCTCTATGGCTCTGTGCAAGTCACTTTAGTCAAGATTTTCAAAAGTATTTTCTAATTTTGACTGTTTCAGGTTCTGGGGGCCCCGCATTAAACACCTGGGTCAAAATTTTCAGTCTTGTATGTCCAAAGTTAGACACCTGTATCCATATTTAGGTACCTAGATAAGAGGCCTGACTTTTTCTGAGGTGCTGTGCATTTGCAGATCCCATTGACTTCATTAGAGGTTGTGTGTTCAGCACCTCTTAAAATCAGGTTCTTTTGCCATAAACTTTTCTGCCTCAGTTTCTCAGGCTGTAAAATGAGGATAATTCTGGCCCGTCTCAGAGGGCTGTTTGAAAGGCTTTGAACACAAATCAGGATAAACTTGTTTCTCTTTGACTTTCATCTTAATGATTATTCTTAAATACCAAGGCATGCAGAAAAGAACAATGTGGCTCCACCAAGCAGCCCAAACTTTTCAGGTTCCTTCCAGAGTTCAGGTACATCACCTTATGAGAGATGAATGAGCTGCAAGAGAACCAAGAAGTTAGATTCCACTTCACAGACATTTTACTCGGCCATCTTTTTTACCAAAGCCACATTTTAATGTTTAATCAATAATGGTTTCAATCAAATCTGCATTAAAATAACTTGAATCAAAATTGTCTTTGCCTCATATTTATAATTTTGGTTCATATTCAAATTTATATTGTCAGTTAGATGTCAAAGCTACTGAAGGAAAATGCTGTTTTTAATAGCAGAAAATGAAGGGAATTGTTAAAGAACTTTCACATTCACCTTTGCATTGCTAACACAGAACACACCTTAGGTTCTTGTCCATGCTCGCTGACTTTACAGAGCATGTTTTTATTTTGCTGCTTCAGAGACTTAAGCAATAAAGTCCTGAGAGAGGATTGCATTTACAGATTCAAACAGACCTTGCATTAGCTTCCTTATGCTCATTATTCTGAGGGCTTGTCTCTGCAGGTCTTCCTGTTTCTTCATCTAGTTTTCTCTTAGCTCACAGATGCTCTGTCTTGTATTCTGGGGAGTTGGAATTAATGAGAGCCATCTGATATGCCAGGGCGAGTCATCAGAATAGCTCAGCATTTCCACATAGAATCCTAAAATCTGACAATCTATCACAATACCCTTGCCTCTTCTGGCCTCATCTCCTCCCCCACTCTTCAAACGTCTCCCTTCTGTTTCCAATCCTTTTTTCCCTTTATGCCTTTTTCCACATCCTTCTGTCTTTCTCTGCTCTTTTACATTGCTTCATCCATCCTAGTTGGTGCCAGCTTCAGGGCTTTGAGTGCTGCAGCCTCTAGTGATGTAAATCTTTCAAAACTCAACCCACTTATTATAAGTTACTGGAGTTTGTTGCTTCAGAGGAGACATTCCATTATTGTGTTGCTGACACAGCATAAACATGGTGCCAGAAATAAAACTGAGACTCTAATCATCCTGCGAGTAGTAGAAGTTTTACCAGTGGGGTTCCGGGGGCATTGCCCCACAAAATGTTTTTGGACACTCTCCTTATTCTTGCTTCTACTTACTATCTTGAACCCAGTAACATTTAAACTGAGTCAAATTTTTGAAATTCTAACATCATGGGTTTGAAGTTCTCAGATGCTTAGTCTTAACTTTGTCAAAGTCTAACTGAACTTCCACATATTTGAGATTCTCTCATCACACTTTTCTTATTTGGAAAGGTACTAAGCATTGCTCTTAATTTTGGTAATTGAAAAAAAAGACTGAGTCTCTTCCCCCCAACTCTGTCCCCCATAATTCCTCACAACCCTACTGTAAAGACCTTAGTATAAAAAGCTCTAACATGGCAGATCTCTCAACAAACTTCTTTTATCTCACTGTTTGGAATCTACTTGGACTATGTTATTTTGGCATCTATGGGGTAAATAATATAAGGCAGTGGTCTCCAAACTTTTTTGATCGCGCACCCCTATCAGTAAAAAAATTTTGAGCATGCACCCCCAATATATGAATATTTATTTATGTATAATTATATACATGTACTCCTGTACTAATATATTATGTACATTATAAAACATACACAAAAATAGAAATTAAAAAAGGATGAGATAAGGATGAAATAAACAATATTTTTAAAATATTTTTTTATTTTATTTATTAACAGTACAAAAAACCTTTTTGCTCTCACTAAAAAAAATTACTAATAATATTTTTAGTGACTGCAATGTGATTGAATATACTTCATTATTTTTGAAAATCTTGGTTTAACACTTTGTGATACAGCGATTCGAAGGTCTGGTTCTAAGTTCAGTTTATTTCACATCTTGGTTTTAATGGCTGTCATAGTTGAAAAAGATGCCTCACAAAGATACATAGATTGAAATGGAAGAAGTGTATCGTTGGCTTACTAAATCATGATACTCATTTTTCAATCCCATCCACCAATTATGCAAAGGTTTTTTGTTGAAATTCGGCTAGTAAATTTCCGTCTTCCCTGATGTCAATCAGTTGTTCTTGCAAACTAATCGGAAGTTTTTATATTTTTAACAAATGGATTCAAAACCCACTGAAACTCTTCGTTTGGAAGATTTTTAAACAGGTTAGGAAATTCTGTTTCCAAGTTTTTTAAGTGTGCAGATATGAGAGTTTTTATAGGTGACACACTTACATCGTTTTCGGCAACAAAATCACATAACGATGGAAACATTTCCAAACATCCGTTTTCAAAATGCTCTCTCCGTAGCACAAGTTTCTTTCAAAAAGCAGTTGCTTTCTCACTCATTGTTAAAACGTCACCTTTACCTTGAAGGGACAGATTAAGTGTGTTTATTTTTTCGAAAATATCTGCTAGGTAGCATACTACTGACAGTCACTTGTCATCACAGAAAAGGTCAGCAAATTTAGAACACTTGTCTTTTTGTAAAAGAAAAATGTGTAACTCATCTTTAAGTTAAACAACTCTTTTAAGCACTTTGCCACGAGATAACCAGCGAACCTCTGTGTGGTACAAAAGATTTTCATGGTCACTCCCCATCTCATTACAAAGTACTGTAAAGATTCTACTATTTAAAGGTCTTGTTTTTATAAAATTAACCACATGGATGACATCCTGTAGCACTTTGTGCACTTCTGGCTCCAACTTCTTTGCTGCAATAGCTTGCCTATGAATGATGCAGTTTGAATGAATTTCACGTGTCGTGCT